TAAAAAAATTAATATGGACTAAGGTATAAGTTAAAATAATCATTTTTCTTAAAGTCTTAACAAGAATCTATATGATTTTTAATTTTTTAAGAGCCTTGATAGGACATGTACCCAACAATGGCTCATCCATTATTGCTTAAGATTGATATTTCTTCTTCAAACCTTTTTGATATAAATTTTAAAAAATATTAAAAAAAAAAACCTCGTTTGAACAAAACAGGCCCATAGCTTGACTTGTGTCTTGCTTCTTACCCAACAAAAAGCTAAGACGAAAGAATTTGTACTCTAAACTCCTTGAGAAATAGAAAAGAAAATCAAAGTCAAACTTGGTTTGAAGGTATCACTCAAAAATTTTGTATACTCAAAATGGCAAAACCCTCAAATCCACTTTTAGATAAATAAGGACAGGTTCATTTTTTAAAAAATGTAGGGATAAATTATTTTTTTAAATTATAAATAATTCAATTATAAATAAAAATAAATCGTTCATTTCTTAATAAATTTTGTCAACTTTTCATTAAAAAATATTTACGTAATAAATAGAATCTATTTAAAGGAGTAATTATTCTCTTTTTTTTTTCTTTTTTTTTTCTTTTTTATGGATCTATCCCACCTCCTTCAAAAAAAGGGTTTATTCGGAGGTTTTGCCTCCCATGTTAAAGACCATAAGTGAAAAGGTCCACATTGGATGGACCCAAAGCGTGAATTACAAATGCTGACTCTTCATAAAAGAAGGTTCCGTTTCACAGGCCCAAACCCACTGAAAATGGAATTTCCCATCCCATCTTACATCTGGGCCTTTCTTTCTTTTTGGGTTAATTGAAACCCAAAACAATAAATCCGATGCAATTGTTATTCCTCTACAATGGGGAGATCTGAGTAAGAATACAAAGTAGAACTCTCTGTCTTCTTCTTTTTCTTTTTGGTTTCATCTTTATATTTTTCCATCATTCTCATCTTCTCTTCTCTTTGTTTCCAAAAGAAAAATAAATAAATAAAAGAGTTGGAATTGGCAAATGAAAGTGCATTTTACTTTAGATTAATTTATTTATTTCGTATAGCTTTGATTGTTCTTGTAATGTGCTGTCACTAAAAAGTAATATTAATATTTGGGAGTTGTTTTTCAAAAGCAGTGTAATTATATAAAAAAAATTTAATTAATTAAAGTACTAGGATTATGAGAAAATGATTAGCAAATAGCAATGCGTGTATAGTTTTAAACCTACCTGTGTATTACTTTATGATAATGTCAATTTAACAACAGCAAAGTTTTCTTCTTCTTTTTTTTTTTTTTTTTTTTTGATAAAGACAATAATTAGTAAATTAGTATTATTAAATATTAACAACTGAAGATTCGATCCCCAAATTTAATGAACAAATCACCGGTCTCAATAAAGCGCGCAGCCATCAGGCCGCTTGATGAAGTTCAACAACAGCAAAGTTTCTAGGAAATATTATTGCTGTGACTGAAAAGTGTTATACACAACAATCACAAATGAAACTAAGTCTACCACCAGACTAGTCAAAGACGAGTCATTGACATTATTAAGTATTAGAAAATTTATGAGAAATTATCCTTTTTTTTATTAACTAATGTTTAACAATATGGGGAGCAAATCCCTTGCAACAAGTTGGATTTTGAATAGCCCCATCTATCTCTGTCTGCCTTTATGTTGCAAACCAACCTTAAACTAAGAGATTCAATTATTCTTCATTTTTAATGGAAATTAAATACAAGAAAAACAGATAACATCAGAATTATTGATTTGGTAGATCTCATGACAGGTGTAACAGATCATAATTCAACATGGGAAAAATAATTCATCCCCTTTGTCATGAACCCTTAAACTAATTCTAGTCCACCTCACCTCAGTTCTATACAGCTTCTTTTAGGGGTGAGGAATTTGCAAAATATACATCATACATACCAAATATTATTGTTATTATTATTATTATTGTTGTTATCCCATGGCTAGATAAATAAAGGCAATTATTGTTGGTTCTTGAATTTTGCATTATTGGCTACCTAACACATTCTCAAAGGCCCCTTTCTCTGTAGTAAATATTATCCTTTGTTTCTTCCACGTGAACTAAATTAATCTTTTCCTAAACTTGCTAGTTTCTGCACCTAATACGAACTTGACTGAGATATGTGGCTGGGGCCAACATGTAGGTTTGGCAATGTTTAGTTTTCCAATACACATTCTCAAGTTTCAACCATATCCTTCCTAATTTCAGGCCCCAGAACTGTTGTTTACTTCCATCAACTTTATGATGATGTCCATATTGTCAAACTTGCTTCTCAACTAATAGATGCTATATTCAGATTGGGGAAAACCAAATGGATATGTAGATCGATAATCAACACAAATAGCCCATACAATCCTATAGTCCTTGGAGAGAATCACAAAAACATCATTTCTAAACAGCATCTCTTGTCTCAAAAAACATGCCACCTTTAATTACTTTAATCTCTTACAGTATCAAATCAAAAGTTTATACATTTGCAACAATTGGAGGAAAGTGTTAACAAACAATTTTACAATATCCCCACTAGAGATCTAAAATGAGATTTAATTATTATGAGGATGATAAAAGAGAGATTAATAAAATAAAAAAGAAATGGAATGGTACATCTAAAGCACTCACCTTTATGAACAAATCAACAGATATAGGCCCCCCCGTCCCTTCACTTTTTCCGTTGGTTTCCCATCACTCATGCCACTGGGTGGGGCAGTCCAGCAAGTAAAAAGGAGTAAACTTTGAGCAACCCAAATAAGGAATCATCACAAGAAGCAGCAGGGCATGAATTGGAACCCCATAAATGCATATTGCCACCATGTAATATGATGTCTGTAGTGGTAGCTTGTATTTTGGGATCAACGAATCATGAGTTAGCCTGTGCATTTCCAATGGTTTTGCGCTCAAAATCCTTGATTGTATTGACTAGCTTCTTCATGTTATCATCGTAGACATAAGGTAGCTTATTATACCATGTCACATTGTTCTTGGCTGATAAGGGGAGGTATTCCCGGCACAGCTCTTCATGTACTGTAATTGAGTTGTGATAGTGATAATACCGTATCTTTGTCTCTGTCTTGTGTAGTGTCTTCCCAATCACATTTTCAGACATATGAACCCCTGTAGCATATGCATTCTTCGCCTGTATCGCATATTTCCTGTCCCGCCTAATTCCTGTTCTTGATTCCCTGAAGAGAAGCTTCTCAAATCCCCATTCCCTGAATTGCGAAAGCAAACATTAGTAACAGAAAGCTGTCGTGTATAATGAAAGAAGAATATGCAAGTTGAAGTTCAAAAGGATTCACAACCAAATTGACCTGTGGATGTGAATCTTTTCATTGAACCACATTTGAGTCTTAAATGCAGAACTTAATCAAAAATTTCCCAAAAGCAGTTGTTTGCTTGCTGGAAAAAAATCAACTTTAATCTATCTATCTCTAATAATTTCTTGTTGTTGCAATGTTCAATGTCAGGATAATACCATTCAGCTCTTAAGCTAACTAACTAGAGAATTGATACATAAACATAAAGATATTAGGCCCTGAGGGAAGCAACATACCTGGAATAGTCTTGGGAGGAATCATTCAAGCAGAGCACACTAGACATTGGATTCTGCTCAATAGTGAACTGAGTATAATCGGAAAACTCATTCAGAACCGATTCCAGAGTATTCCCCTCAGGCAAATAAATATATTCATCCACATCAAAGTAAAATGTCCAATTGGCAGTATGTCTATACCGATGCAGACAATCATTCACAATCAAAAACTGATTATAATAATACCCATCGAACTCAGCCTGCGCACTAATATCCTGCACCGTGACCCTCCCAGCTCGAACCCATGGCTCCAGCACTGCCTTCACCTCAGGTGTCACCCCACCCGTATCGTGGAATACGAAATGCGAGCTGGGTCCGAAGAACCAAGCGTGATAAGCCATCCATTCTCTCATCCTGTCCGCATTCAGGTTCCCGTACAGAGACGACCCACAATACAAATACTCGTACTGGAAAGGCGGGTGGTACTTGGAGTCGTCGTAAGACCCAGGTGCCTCTTCTAGAGCCATGAATTTTTCATACTTCCTCGGAGACTCGCCGTAATAGGCATTAACCATAAGCCTGCCTCCGACGTTTCCCCGGTTAGGGTTAAAAGGGAAAGTGCAATTGACGACGACGACGGTATAGACACGACCATAGCCCCAATCGGGTAGCATTTTATAGGCTTTTGCCCTGAAAGACGATCCATTGTTGGAGATCCACTCGCATTTAAACCAGGGACGGCCGAAGACGTGAATAGGCTTGGAAGCGAGGCCCACCACCGCAAAGGTCGTGGGTCCGCCCCTGTAAGCACCCATCTGGACAAACAGAGCAGCGGCGTTGCCATAGGCTTGAAAGATTCGCTTGTTTGGATCGGAGGGCTTGGGAGCGGCGAACTTCTTCTCAGCAACAGGGGCAGCAGTATAAGGCACTGACGCATTGGTGGCACTGGCAAGTAAAGTAGTAGTTGCAGTTGCCGATGCGGGTGTGGTGGTGGGAGTGTCGGAGGGGGCGGAGCAGGGGAGGGTAGTGGAGAGGAGGTTTTGGTAGTAGGGAGGAAGGTTCCAAATGAGGAGGAGAAGAGTGAGAGCTAGTAATGTGGCAACAAGGGGCTTAGTTTCGAAGCAGACAAAGAGCTTGGCGACGGTGGAGGAGGGGGAAGAGGTAGGTGGCGGTTCTTTCCTCATCCGTTGAGTGGCGGTGGGCGGTGGACGGTGGACGGTGAACGGTGAAACGGTGATGGTTGTTAATTAGTTAATGAAGAAGTTTCGGAGACAGAGTAAAAGGCAACGGCAATGCCGACACACAGCCTGTCCTAAGCTGCTGTCCTTATTATTTCCAGGCATTGTAATTACTAGTGCCAGGATTGGAGGGTATAAAAATAATATGCGGACTGCCCAAACTAAATAATTGGCCTCTGATCTTTTCTTATTTACCAAACTAACACTGTCCAAGTATCAATAAATTAATTTCCAATTAGCCGAATAAGTAGCAGTGCTTTATTTTTTTCTTGTACTAATTTTTTTATATTAAGCAATTATATTAGATCTCGATTAATTCAAAATCAAATTACATAGAATCATATTTAAAGAAACTCTCCTAATATCTATTTCTTCATTCATAAGATTAACGTCTGTTTTTTCATTCATAAAATTTAAATTCAAGATCATATTTAAGGAGAATAAAGTTCTTTCTACTCGGACCAATAAATAGTTAGTAGAAATGCTTTATTTTCAATTGTGAGTTTCAATAATTAAAATTTTAAAATTTTAAAATAAATTTTTAAGTGAAGTGAAGAGAAATTTAAAAATAAAAAATAGTTATTTTTTTAATTTATCGTTATCATATGTATAAAAAGATTTATAATAATGCTTTTTGCTTTACAAATACTAACACCCAAGAGTGATAATAATTTTTTTTCCTAATCAGTTACTTGGAAGATTCATAAATATTAAAACTCAATTATTTTTAATTTTTTACTTAAATTTATGAAATTTATCTTATTTTTATAATTATCACTATTATCAAGCAAACATGACCTTAAGAATGTTAGGAGAAGAGAGGATTTTTGTTAATTTTGTCCTTAAATGAAAATCACAAATGATTTATAGATAGAGTCCTTATTAAGCTACTTTCTCTGGATGTGGGGGGCACAAAAATTAGAGAAGTCCAATTCCAGAGCCCAAGGCGAGGAAAATAAGAAAGGAAAAGCTGAGTAAAGTTGTTCCCTTTACCATAGATTCGGTAAAATTTTTTACATCAATCCCTCATTGCTCGTCCATCCATATATTTGGCTATTTATTTCCGTACCATCTAAAATGACG